GCTTGCCCTTGCGGTGCGTGATTTTCACGAAATTTGGTTCTCCACGGCCGTCCAGAAAATCCCTATGATAATACAAGTATCTTTTTTAAAAGGGAAAATAGTCAAATAGACCCTCGAAGGGCTCGAACTTACATAAAAAGTCAAATACTCCCTCCGTCCCTAATAACTTTGCCAAGTTTGACTGGCACGGGGATTAATAAAGTAAAAACTGTGTGGTTGAGGTTTGTGCAGAGGAGAGAGAATTAACTGGAACCACAAATTCTTTACTCAAATGGGAAAGTGACAAAGTTAATGGGACATCCAAAAAAGGAAAGTTGGCAAAGTTATAAGGGACGGAGGGAGTAAGTCCTTATATAGGAGGTTCTGTCCGGCCTCGCCATTTGGGGCGGTTACCGTTGAATTTTATTAAGTCCAAATTTTTTGAAAATATTATTCATTAAGTCTAGTTGACTCATACCAAATTTCAGCTAACAAATCAATCGGGAAGTCATTCAAATGAATTCCTGAAGATAACTGCGCTTTTAACTGTGCAGTTATCTTTAATAATTTATTTGAATGCCTTTCCGATTGAAGTTTTAGCTGAGATTTGGTATGAATAAACTAGACTTAATGAATAAGATGCTCAAAAAAATTCTTCAAAAAATTTCACCGGGAACTGCCCCAAATGGCTGCGGCCGGACAGAGCCTTCCATATAAGGACTTATTTGACCTTTCCGGACCAGTTAACTTGCAAAAATCATTTGACGACTTTCCCGATCGAATTTTGAGCTGAAATTTGGTATGGACAAACTAGACTTGATGAGGAACATACTCAAAAAATTTCATCAAAAAGTTCCACCGGGAAGGTGCCCAAACGGGCTCGGCCGGACGGGGCAGCCCGTCAGGCCGGCCTGATGAGAAGAGTAGAGTACATATATAAATATATATAATTATATATGGAATGGTCTCGATCCATGACTCCATGGAAACCATTGCAGCAAGGAGAGGAAAAGAGACATGAAAGAGCTAGCCCTAATCGTCGTTACCTTCAAAAAACGGAAAGAGCTAATTATGATTCTCATCTGCAATTGAATATTTTTGTTCTTTCTAATTGAACTCGAAATTAGCAAAAAAAATATACATATCACACATACCGCTAATTAATAAGTTAGTAAATAAAAAACTAATTGATGTCCTTAAAAGTCATTCGACAAGTTATCAGCCGGTTGTAAACAGTCATTTAACCAAACACCAATCTACAAACCGCTAATACTATCGGCCAATCAAAACAGCCAACATAATCAGCTGTCATCAATCGGCCAACACAACCAGCCAACAGCTAACAGCCAACAGCCAATTGCCAAACACCCCCATAGTGTTTCCAATCTTGGCTGCTTGGGATGAAGAAGCCGATTCAAGAAGCTATTCATCAAACACATGAAGAAGCCGATTCGGCTATGTTTGGCACATCAAGCTGGAACTGGAGGCTAATGTCTGAAATATGGTCTATTGTCTGAAACCGGAACTATTGTCTGAAACTGAATTTGGAAGTGCTGAATTTGAATTGCTAGCTAAATAGAGTAAACCTGTTTGGCAAAAAGAGCTGAACAAATGCAGGAATAATATGAAATTACATTAAAGGACATATGATTATTAATAAAATAAAATATATTCGGGTGCATTCGAATATAGTCAGTGTACCATTCGACTATACCATACAAAATAAAAACCATAAATTTTCCTAGGGAAAATGGAAACTAATAATCCAACCTTTTAGCGGTCTTCTTTTAATAGTCCCACCTTTTCGTTATTCATGAATAATCCAACCTTTGCACCTCATCTTCATTCATTGGTCCCCGACCGGTTGATGACTTGCTATTCCGAGTTATTTTATTATCTCTGCAAACTTTTTTTTTTTAAATTTCACCTTTCATAAAGATAATATTTTGCAAAGATAAGAAAATAACTTGGAATAGCAGGTCATCAACCGGTCAGGGACTAATGAATGAAGATGAGGTGCAAAGGTTGGATTATTCATGAATAACGAAAAGGTGGGACTATTAAAAGAAGACCGCTAAAAGGTTGGATTATTAGTTTCCATTTTCCCTAGGAAAATTTATGGTTTTTATTTTGTATGGTATAGTCGAATGGTACACTGACTATATTCGAATGCACCCGAATATATTTTATTTTATTAATAATCATATGTCCTTTAATGTAATTTCATATTATTCCTGCATTTGTTCAGCTCTTTTTGCCAAACAGGTTTACTCTATTTAGCTAGCAATTCAAATTCAGCACTTCCAAATTCAGTTTCAGACAATAGTTCCGGTTTCAGACAATAGACCATATTTCAGACATTAGCCTCCAGTTCCAGCTTGATGTGCCAAACATAGCCGAATCGGCTTCTTCATGTGTTTGATGAATAGCTTCTTGAATCGGCTTCTTCATCCCAAGCAGCCAAGATTGGAAACACTATGGGGGTGTTTGGCAATTGGCTGTTGGCTGTTAGCTGTTGGCTGGTTGTGTTGGCCGATTGATGACAGCTGATTATGTTGGCTGTTTTGATTGGCCGATAGTATTAGCGGTTTGTAGATTGGTGTTTGGTTAAATGACTGTTTACAACCGGCTGATAACTTGTCGAATGACTTTTAAGGACATCAATTAGTTTTTTATTTACTAACTTATTAATTAGCGGTATGTGTGATATGTATATTTTTTTTGCTAATTTCGAGTTCAATTAGAAAGAACAAAAATATTCAATTGCAGATGAGAATCATAATTAGCTCTTTCCGTTTTTTGAAGGTAACGACGATTAGGGCTAGCTCTTTCATGTCTCTTTTCCTCTCCTTGCTGCAATGGTTTCCATGGAGTCATGGATCGAGACCATTCCATATATAATTATATATATTTATATATGTACTCTACTCTTCTCATCAGGCCGGCCTGACGGGCTGCCCCGTCCGGCCGAGCCCGTTTGGGCACCTTCCCGGTGGAACTTTTTGATGAAATTTTTTGAGTATGTTCCTCATCAAGTCTAGTTTGTCCATACCAAATTTCAGCTCAAAATTCGATCGGGAAAGTCGTCAAATGATTTTTGCAAGTTAACTGGTCCGGAAAATACATATTCCGGACCAGTTAACTTGCAAAAATCATTTGACGACCTTCCCGATCGAATTTTGAGCTGAAATTTGGTATGGACAAACTAGACTTGATGAGGAACATGCTCAAAAAATTTCATCAAAAAATTCCACCGGGAAGGTGCCCAAACGGGCTCGGCCGGACGGGGCAGCCCGTCAGGCCGGCCTGATGAGATGATTTCTCTATGTACTTATATATAGATATATGAAGTACCTGCAAGTTATTTTTTTCTTAAGCAAGATGTCGTAGAACAGCCGAGAGGAGAAAAAGACCACTGGGTAAAATAGGAACGTCCGCTATTTTCTTGAACGGCCGCTACCTAAACGCTGCTTTTGTTAGCATTTTACATTTTGGCTGTTTGGGATAAAAAGCCAAATGAAAAAGCCAATTTACCAAACACCCTTATTAGCTGATTGGTTTGGTCAAAAGGCTAATAATGGTCAAATCAGCCAAAAATTGGCTGATAGGCTCCTAACCAAACACCCCCTATGCAATATGCATGGCAGCGTTTCACGTTGCCTTGTTCTATTTTTACGGTGCTCCAGCGCTCCACTTTTCCTAATACGTATTCCATTCTTTCCTTAAATTAATAGGAGTACTTTTTAGCTTAACTTTTTCTTTATTTATCTTTTCATTTTAGTTTAATTTATACATATTGATTATTATTACAAAAAATGTGAAGAAATAATATTTAATTTTTTATGTTTAGAAAATAAATTATATTAAGTTAATCAACAAAAGATTTGAACCAATAATTAATTAATATTACATCTTATAAATAAAAAGAGTTGGAAAGTTATATTTCATCCAATGCAGGTATTGGATGGGATTAGTCCTGGGCCGGGTCGGGTCCGGGCCGGGCCTAGGCCCGAGCAGGCCGCCGGTTCTGAATAGGTGGGCCCGGGTAGCCACCGGGTCCGGTCCGGGTCCGGGTTGGTCCGGGACTCGGGTCAATTTTTTTCCCTTTTCCTAATTAACCCCAACCCCCCAAACCACCCCAAATGGCCCAAAATACTCAACTCATCCCAAAGAGTTAAAAAAATTGAAAACAAATTAAAAAATTAAAAAGCCCGGAACTGGGCTCGAACCGGCCGGGCCGGTTCGGCTTTTCGATGACCCGAGCCCGCACCGGGAACCCCCCGGGCCGGGCCTACCCGGACCGGTCACTGGCCGGGCCATCGGGCCGGGCCGGTTCAGCACAGTACCGGTCCCGGGCCAGTTCTGGGCGGACATTCCAAATTTATTACTTAAAATATATATACTTCATACATTCTTAATTTTTCAAAATTTGTTTTTTAAATGTTTTTACTAATAGAGAATAATATATATTAATGGTGGATTGTTCAATTGAAAAACAAGATAAAAGTTTCCAAAAATGATAAGTCGTTGATAACAAAAAATAATACATATGCAATCGTGCCCTTATATGTCTTTTTGCACTCTAAAAGTTATTCTCAAACAGCGAATTTATCAAACGATTGTTGACAACAAGCTAACTTACTTAACCAGCCAACCATAATAGCTAACACAATAAGCCATTTCAAATTATATGCAGTTAATGTGTTGAATCGTTACTGGTTGAAGCAAATCAGTACCTCAATTACGTTTAAATGTTGCAACCGGCAGTACCACTCAATATTCCGGCCAAAAATGCCACATGTCCGCCGGAAATCCATATCATCATTATTATTCATGGCATAGTGATGAGAGAGGAGAAATGGTCGTAGGTAGGACCAAAAATAAGCTGATGTAACTAAATAGGACCTACTTCTTTTTTATCCGTAAATAGGACATATTTGACGTGTTCTGACCTTTTTACCCTTCTATTTCTTTCCGTCTAATCCTCTTCATTGGATCCTTATTCCCTCTCTCTTCATCAGACGTTCAGACCTCTTTATTTTCCCACCTCATTGCTGGAAGACTGATAGACTAGATGAAGGAGCTGAGGCATGCATACGATGTGAGAAAAGATCCGACGGCGGCGGCACAACAAAATATACACCGCAGCGACGCAGCCACGGCCGAAGGTGCGGCGGATTTGTAGACCTACAATCTTCTATTGGGAATCTTCTTCTTCTTTGGGGATTTGCAATCGATCCTTCAAAGGATCTGCGATCGATCGATATGTGGATTTGCATCTCTTTCTTTATTTTTTCTTTTTGCTTACTCCGTATTCCGTTGTTTCACTTTTGATGTGAAATTGACTTGCTGTATATATATTCCTATTGATTGTTCACATTTGATGGGTTCCTATTTTGTTTCAGTTGAAACTAAATTAATTTTATTTCTTTAATTATATTCCTATTATTATGTACTGTATATTTAAATCTTTATCTGCTATGGAGTATTTTTGTTCTATGGCGCTAGACAATGGCATTAATTTTCAACAATGAAATGAATGGTTTTTTAACATTCAAGCTTTTACTTGACAATGAGTTAATATTCTGGCATTGTTTAATAACATTGTGATATTGATTTTTTTATGATGTCATTGTGATATTATTACATTGACATGTGAGATTGTGTATTATTTACTTTGTGACACTGTAATATTAACATTGTGACATTGACATTGTCATTATACAATGTCATTATTTATAACATTGACATTATTATTATTTGACATGATAACATTTTCTACCTTTTATCAATAACATTGTCTATGACATTCATTGACTTTAGCATTGACATTGTCCACATTATCAAAATGTGTTTTTAAAAATAGTGACTTTTATAATATTGACATTGTTATGTCAGTCGATGACATTGACATTGACATTTTCATTAATACAATGTCATTTTTTGTAGTGTTGACATTGCCATTGTCATTATTACAATGGCATACGTAACATGGACATTATCATTTTCATTGTTTGACATTGTAATAATTTTCTGACATTTTGACAGTTTCTAACGTCTAACATTGTAATTTTTTACAATGATATGACATTGACACATATCTCAATTTCATCATAAAAACAATGTCACTTCTTGATAATATCGTAAGAGTGACATTTTTTTAGCATTGAAATTGACATGTCATTATCACAATGTCATTTTTAAATCATTGACATTGTCATTACTTTGACATTGTCATTGTTAAATAATTGACATTATCAAAAAATGTCATTACTTTGACATTGTGAAATTCTTTTTTTTTGACAATGTTTATAATAAATTATTATAGTACGTATGTGAATGCCTAAGAAATACTTCCTGAAAAATCAATTTGATTAGACATCCACACAATGACACAAAAGCACACGTAGCAGCACAAAGCATCAACAGAAAGGCACGTGTAGCAGCAGAAGTTAGAAAGTGATAATTGAGAGAAACTCAGTTAAAAAAATTGAAAAATAAATAAATTAAAAATTTACGCGTACAGCACTGTAGCAGGACATAAAGAAATTGTAAAAGGAGGAAGAGGTGGGTCATGGGTGGAGACTCAAACCGGGGAGGCGGGCAACAAGGAAAAATTAAGAAACAGCAGAAGATCGGATGAAAACGGAGAACAAGGAAGAAAAAGAGGAGAAGGAAGAAGAAGATGAGAAGGAAGAAAAAGCAGAAGGAAGAAGAAGACCCAGCAAATTTCGCGACGAGGCGGCAACGAACATCGGTCCCGCAGTGACAAGCGGCCCAACGAATCGGCGACGGGAGGCAGTCCGGCGAAGAATCAACAGACATCACATCGCATCTCAGAGAGATGCGCTCCCACCTGGTGCGCTCCCTCTTCGTTGCCTGATTGAAAAGCGGTGCAACTTGTATTTGATGGGTAAGAGCACTTTTGATCGAGGGTATTCTCGTCCTCCCGATTCAAAATAGGTCCTATTTTGGGGCTTGAACCCACGTTAATCTAAAGATATCCCTTACTCCCCAAACGCAGCCACTAGACCACTGTGACCCTTATGAAAAAGAAGGAAGATAGTTGTATACATTTCGCGTTTTCTGTGAAACTTTAACATTTTATATTAATAATATAAATACATTATATATACGTATTACATTATATTACGAATATAAGTTTGGGTGCTCATTTGATTCTCCTTTAAAGTTTGGGATATTATGATTATTTTTACTAAAAAAAAATGTCTGAAGTTTTAACCGTTGGAGTTTTTAGGCTAAAAATGTGACAAATAATATTTTAAAAAATATTTAAAGTAACATACTCCCTCCGTCCCCTTTTAAATGTCTCATTTTACCATATTGGTATGTCCCTATTTAATTGCCTCATACATTATGATGGATAGTCTACCCGGGGGTAACTTATCCGAGGGGTTATATATTGCGAGAATAACTAGAGAGAAGTCAGAGCAAATAGGAGGAGAGAGAGTCGATTTTATTAAATGAACTCAGCGTGGTTTACAAGGAGAATAAGAGCTGCTATTTATAGCAGCAATAAATGCGATGAGAGTACACGTGTCAGTAATCTAACGGCCGAAGGGTCACCTCAATCGGGGTGACACCGGCAGTGGCATGTTCACCACATTGAATGCGGTGGGTGGGTGGATGTGACGTTGCATTAAATGCGGTGGTTGCTTGTCTCCAAAGGGAATCTTTTCGATGATTGAGTTGTTGGCCGAGGGCTCCCCCTGTGGCTGAGGGCCTGTGTAGCCGAAGGCCCTGTGTAGCCGAAGGCTTCCCTGATGCCGAGGGCTCACAATGCCGAAGGCTCCTATTTTCTGCCGCTTTTCCCAGTCGCTTCGTATGCCCAAAAAGGCTATTCTGTTAGTTTTTGAGCCTTCGGCCAAGGTGGCCGAAGGCACCACAGTGTGCATTTTGGGCTTCCTTGAACTTGGGCCACTGTATTTGGGCCTCGGATGCTCCATGGGCTCAATGGGCCTTTGTAGGAGAAGTAGGAGTCTATGGGCCAGGGGTTCCTGGGCCACATACTCCATCACATTATTTGGTAAAGTTTGTGTGGCTCAAAATCATTCTTACTTTATTCTTACTTTATCAATTAATATCAATCACACGAACTCATTTTTCTTAAAACTCACGTCACCTTCTTCCGGGACATTTAAAAGGGGACAGAAGGAGTATATAATATGGTGACAAAAATATACGGAGTACAATATAATGCTTATTTACGGTGTAAGAGATAGTCTCATGTATAATGTATTAATCTTACTTATTATTGTAAATGTTAAATGATATATGGCAGAATTGCTATTTATACAAAGACTTTCTTCATTATTAACCAGAGTAACACTAGGCCAGTTGGTGCCGTGTGTGGAGTTGGTGGATTTAATTTTGCACTGCGCGAGGCAGGTTTGAAACCCAGGGACTCATTCTTTTTTTATTTAATTTTTTCACACCTTTCTCATTAATAATGACATGGATAATCACTAATGACATGGATAATAATGATTACTCTGATTTAATGACATGGATTTCCGGCGGACATGTGGCATTTTTTGGCCGGAATATTGAATGGTACCACCGGTTGCAACATTTAAACGTAGTTGAGGTACTGATTTACTTCATTAAAGACTTAAGGTACTAAAGTGCAACATTATCAATAGTTATGATACTTTTTATGCATTTTACTCTATAAAAGGGCATCAATTTGAGAGAGTCTAATATTAAGAAATAATTAGCCGGTTATATTTTGTTGAAAACAAAAGATTAATATTTATGTTTGCTTGAAGAATTCTACGTTTTAACGATAATAAAGTTCCAATTGCGAAACGGAGTAACTGACATCAATCTTTACTACTCCGTAATTCGTTTGTTTTAATAACTAGTATCGTACCCGTGCGATGTATGAGAAACATGTTATTATTTTAAGGAATATAAACATTAAATTTATAGGAAATTAAATTAAAGGAAAAAATAAATATTTAGCGCGAAAGTGCGCAATTAAAGCATAAGAAATAAATGTTTACAAATTTTGAAAAAACATCTTGATATACATATTTGTTGTTACATTAGTATTTCTACATTTTTATCACATATGAGATCAAAGAAGATTTCCGCACGAACAAATCAACAATAGAAAATGATTGTCCTTGATTTGTGTTTATCACCATTGCGTACAAAATCATTTGTGAAATTGTCATCTTTGAAATTTGAATGACAATCTAGATATCAGTGAGTCAAAGTCGCTTTTACTATCAATACATTTTCATAAGTGCTTATTCCTGTCATAATTTTTGTTGTTTCGGGTGAATGATCAATACTTTATTTTGGTTTCAAATAAAGTTCCTCGTTTGACTTTACAGTTTTCAAGGAAGTGAAATCTTTACTTTCGACTTTACCATTATATGAGAATAACTTTATATCGAAAACATTCCAGAAATAGAAGAGAGAATTTATTTTAGACCTACCAAAAAGAAAAATGAGAACTTAATATAAGACCAAATGAGTACAATTAATTAGAATAGTCTTAAATATATTTTATTGTCGATTCATTTAAAGTATAAATTTCATGAAAATATGTTCCACATTGACATTATTCATATATTTATATTTTTTGTGGTTGAAAAGGAAAAAGGATGATTCAAGAGTTTTTAATTATTGTATAATATAAAACCGAGATTAAAAAAAAAATTATGCCAACCAAACAAATACACTTCACAAAAAATCAAACCCACTTATTCCCATACATACATAGGGGTGGACTGGGCACGGGTCGGGCTGGGCTCAGGGTCGTGTTGGGGTGGGCACCGGTCAAAATTATTCAGGCCTGGTACCGGCCTGGGTCAGGTATGAATTTTTTTTTGTGTTTTTGAATTAATTCAAATCCTCCCACCCCCAAACCGCCCAGCCCACCCACCTAGCAGCCAGTCTAACCCAAAAAAATTAAAAAAAAAAAAACAAATTGGGCCCGGAACGGGCCCGGCCAAGCCGGTCCGTCATTTAGCAAGTCCGTAGCCCGCCACATTAAAGACCCGGTTCGGGCCCTAGTCCCCGTCCCGGCCAGCCGGGCCAGGCCAGTACAGCACAGTAATGGGCCGGGCCGAACCAGCCTACTAGCCTAGTCCACCCCTATACACATATTCTTCGGCCATACAATTACACAGGGGCCAAATTTAAAATTCCTTCTAGTTGGGACAGCCCAAAGTAGGAGCCCAAAATCAACACATGAATGCAATTCCTCCGGTGTAGCCAAATTCTGGAATGCTGACTTGCCGACAATCGTCTTCATTTACCTAACCGTATGTTGTTGCGATGGATTACCATTGATCACCACACTTTTATCACCTGACTCATGGTGCAAGTATCCAACCGGTGATCAGTCAATCGTATTCCACGGTTCTCACTGATTCCAAACAATCTGAGTTCTTCAATTCATTTAAGAAGATACCAATACGGAGTAAGGGTTTTTACTTGAATTCCATGTGTCTTGGTTTATTTAAGGTGTGAGTTTTGTAGTTCCCTTCGTTTTAATTTTGTATAGAATGCCTGATTCATAACAATGGCGACTTCTTCTGCTGCTCCTCATTCAGAGAAAGGCCGTGAGGAAGAGTTCATATAGATTACATAGATAAGTTTGGAATGTACAATTTGATAGTGTAGTATCATTCCTTCTATTGTAATGAAATAGACCAAATTATATGATTGATTATCAATGTTTTAAAATGTCAAGAAATGTATGAATATTCTCTCAAAGATAAACGAAACAATTTTTTTTACTTACTCATTTCTCTAATTAATATCGTTCTTTATTTTCTAACGTAAGAGTGTTCGTATAACTTTTTTCTGAAGTGCACTTCACCGGTGCATTTTAGTTAGTACTTATCAATTATCATTTGCACACACTGCTTAGATTTTAAAATTATCCTTGAAACAACATGCATTATTTGTGATAAGTTGTTAATGCGTATTATTGCGTATATAATAATTACTTATTAATTAGAAACCATAGAATTATTTAAAAGAAGCAATAGAACTAAATAGCCATTATGTAACGCTAATCTAAAAGGCTAATAAATTTATTAGAAAATATTTTAGTCTTGTGTCAGAAATTATTAAAATATTTAACATTTTTATTGGGTGTTTCACCTAGAAAAATGGAATTAGCATACTTAAAGTGGCAATATATTGTATACTACGTACGTTACATAGCGACTTTCTCACTCTTTGTAATCTCTCTTTTTCTTTTGGAAATTGTATACACAAACAACATATATTCACATTATTGTGTTTCACCTCACAATAATGTGAAAGCTATGAACACAACCTCCGATCATAAAAAATCTACGTTATTAGTTAGAAATTAGTTTATTTTGAATAGCAATGTATTGAAGTGCAGTTTTGAATTATCCTAAATAAGTTCATTTGATTAAGTACTCATTAAAATATATCCTCAATACTCTAACGGAATAAATGTATCTCAAGCGGAATAAATGAAAATGTAGTTAAATAAGAAAAGAGATCATTAATTCATTATTCCACATCTTGAAAACCAACAACGTATCAAAGGCTATGGCTATGTTTGGCAAACAAAAGGTTCTAGCTTCTAACTTCTCTATTATTTAAAAAGACCTTAAAAGATTCTAGTTGTATGTTTGGCATGACATTTTTTAAGAGCTTTTCAAAAATTAAAAGATCTTTTTTGAGATGCTACCGGGTGTAGCATCTGAGAAAAGCTCGTGACTTTTAGTATTAATTAGTCCTAACAGCTTGTATACCAAACCGAACTAAATCAAACAGTCAGCTATTTACCAAATAGCTATCACCTTTTCTTTTTAAGATCTTTTCAGTTACTAAAAGTTAACAGCTACTAAAAAGCTCGTAAAAGTATCTTTTTAGCTAGTTGTGCCAAACATATCCTATAGCTAGGACACCTTTTGGCTTCTCTTATTTGATGGTCATCTTTAGCTGTTAGGAATTTAACTCACAAACACGAAGAACAATTAAAGAACACACGAAATTTTGTAACCCAGTTCGCCACAGAGGACTACGGCTGGGGGCGCTACCAAGCCAGGAATGTTATTAATATTTT